TCTTATCATCCCTACAGCACCTGGGTCATTCTTTCACCTGCATGTGCCCCAGGTCTATGTTGGCCCAGGACACTTCTTGGCTTCTGGCTAGTGATCTGATTTTACTGAGTGGAAAAAAAAAGTTTGACTTCAGTGAAACCCCCTTGTAGTGGAATGGGCTCATTTGCTTTTGCTTGAGACAGGGGTAAGGATTGAATAAACTTAAATAGTTTACCTTGCAGGGACACTAACATTGAGCTGTCAATGGATTTGCTTGTCCTCCTGCACCTCTTCTGTTGGCTAGTCTTTGTTTATAAAATAAAATGTTTTGTGAGGCATTACATAGCATACAACACTAATCATAAAGGATATATATCAGATTTTGATAGAAAGGCATGCAACCTTAGAAGTTGGTAATGCTGTTTCCTTTCTAGTCGAAGCACCATATTTTGTGGATTTAAAGAGACCGGAGACAAAGATTGCTCACACAGTGAACTTCTATCTCAAAGTGGAACCTGGGGTGATGCTGGGAATCTGGTGAGTCCAGCTGTGGTCACCGGCTGCTTTGTGGGGGGTGTTGTAGGCTATGTGGTGAGGGCAAGCAGTGTGTGCTCTTTGTCTATAGAGAGGTTGGTGCTCCTTGGAGATTCTGGGAAGGTTTTTGACTGTGGAAATTTGACCTAGTTGATTTTGCTTTCCAGAAATTTTGCTTTCACGTGTGGCACGATTTAGAATCAAAGATTATAAATAATATCATTCATATTTTGGAAGGGATGGCATCAGAGCTTAAACTGTGAACACCTAGTTTACAGAAGGCTGTGGACGACAGTGGAACCCCAGCATCCATTTGAGGGTCTACACATGGATTAAGCCTCTGGTGAATTCCCTCTGACCATAGTCAATACTCTTGTTATCAGACGGAGAGCATTATAGAGACAAGTACAGCAGATATAATTAGGCTAAAATGTAATATCTTAATTGATCACCCTTTTGACCCATTTAAAAGTTGTTTCAGTTAATAAAGAAAAGGGAAGGGGAAATACACATGGATTAAGCCTCCAGTGAATTCCCTCTGACCATAGACCAGGAATATGAATAACTTTGCTATTCAGGCTATCATTGGAAAATGAATTATGGCAGATGTAGTTAGGTTAAAATTTAACATCTTATCATTTGATCTTCCCTTTGACCCACTTTAAAGTTTCAGTTTTTAATATTTTATATTTTCTTTTTAATTGAGGATTTCTGCTATTTGAATTTGTTATTGTTGTTAGGTTTTTTCCCCCTTTGTTTTTGTATGTTTTTGGTATATGAAATTCAGGATGGGTGACTTTATAGCAGTGGTTCTCAACCTTCCTAATGCCCCAACCCTTTAGTACAGTTCCTCATGTTGTGGTGACCCTCAACCATCAAATGATTTTTGTTGCTACTTCATACTGTAATTTTGCTACTGTTATGAATTATAATGTAAACATCTGATATGAAAGCTGTATTTTCATTGTTACAAATTGAACATAAATAAATCATAGTGATTAATCACAAAACAATATATAATTCTTTATTGTGAAATATTTATTTCTAATTAAAAATAAATGAAATTTTGTCTTGAAGCATAGTGTAGCATGGGTAACAGTGTTCACGCCGGGTACTCGTATGTGGGCGTGTCTGCATGTGGGCAGACCCATCTGGAGACAGATAGAGGAACGGTGTCTTGGGTTCCTAAGACCATTGGAAATATGTGTTTTATGATGGTTTTAGGTGACCCCTGTGAAAGGGTCACTCGACCCCCAGAGGGATTGCGACCCACAGGTTGATAACCACTGCTCTATAGAGACGGTAACTGAATTAATGGTTTCTTGAGAGTATAGTAGGGAGGTTGGGGAAAATGGGGAGCTCATAACAATGAGTACAAGAAAGAAGACAATGCTCTAAAATTGTGGCAATGATTATACATCTCTTCTTGATATTATTGAACTATTGAATTATATGATATGTCGATCATGTCTCAAAAAACTTAAAAAGAAACAATAGTTTCACATTTTTGTTTAATAAAGATTTCTGTGATGTGTTTATCCTTGTTATTTATCCTTGTATATATGTAAAGGGAAGGTACATCAGAAACCTTCTAGTTTCCTCCAAGGAACCTCGAGTTCTCCATTGGAGGGTTCAGATTCAGAATTTGGCCAGGAGAGAGAATTTCTCTCTGTGAACCCGTATGCTACAGCCTCCCCTTGTTCTGCAGGCACACGGTTCCCTGCTGCCGGTGGGAAGAGGCTAAGGGGAAGGACCGTTGCTGGTATGAAGCGGCCCTTGGTGACGGCAACCCAGTTGTGGTTTGTCTCCACGGCAGTGCTGAAACCAGGTCAGTGTCTTTGCTTGGAAAACTGTTATTGCCGTTTTGGAGAGAGAGAACGAGCCTTTTATTCCTGTGAAGGAGTGAAGGGCAGGGCTCAGTGTTCAACTCCATAAGCATCTCTCTCTCTCTCTCCCTCATCTATCTATCTATCTATCTATCTATCTATCTATCTATCTATCTATCTATCTTATACATGGGTATGTATGTATCTATATTAGATAAAATGCATTTGTATTTGTTAAAATCTGAGGAAATTCTGACAATAGGCTTCTCTTAAAAGTTCATTATATACGTAGTGATGTGGCTCCTTCATTGAGAAGGCGAAAAAACCTTGAAAACGTGAACATTGGTTTGATAGAAACTACTCTCTCGGTTGGTAGCTTGTCTCTTATTTTTTGCACTTTGGTGAGCAAGTTCTAAAATTTTAATGAGGTCATAATTAGTTTGCCTTTTGATGTTTGTGTTTTGTTACTATATTAGATAATTTATTGTTGAGAGCTAGGCCTGACAGTGTTGTATTTTTCTAAGAGGTTTATGGTCTTAGTGTGCAAATTTCACCACTTGTCTGTCCATTTGTTGCACTGTGGTGGTGTGCGTGTTGCTTTGATGTGGGAAGTTATGTCACCAGTATTTCAAATGCCCACAGGCTCACCCAAAGTGAGCAGGTTTCAGCAGAGCTTCCAGACTAAGAATAGACTATGAAGAATGATTAGGCTGTCCACCTTTGAGAAATTAGCCGTGGAAAACATGACAGGTTGAATAGAAACATACATGTGAAAAGAAGCAGGTCATTGTTGGCGATGGTGCCAGAGGACGAGCCCCTTGGGTTGGAGTCATTGAGTGGTGGCTGAGGAAGAGCTGCCTTCTCTACGTGGAATCGACCACAATGGCGGGGTGGAGCAGGGCCTTTGGGATCTTAAGTTGCTGATAGGACATGACTCAAAAGGAGAAGAAACAGCTGCAGGCATCAATTAATAATCAGGACTTGGAATGTACTAAGTATGAATTGGGAATGATTGAAAGTTGTGAAAAACAAGATGAAATGCATAAAAGTCAACATTCTAGGCATTAGTGAGAAGATGTGCCATTTTGAATCAGAAAATCATATCGTTTACTATACGTATACGTGAATAACTTTCCTTGGACAAACCCTCCTTCACAATACCACTTCAATGGCTTGCAGGTATAGTATTGTGTAGAGTACCCATCAGTTTATTGTATTAGTCTTTTGTTATTATCTATTCAGATTTTGTTAAGTTAACATGTATAGATAAACTAAAATGAATATCTACTTAGATTTTAAAAAGCACAACCTTGAATTGAACCCACCTGAATCTTGAGAACAGATTTGAGATGCTGAACACTAATCCCAGGAGACCTGGTGAGCTGCGGAAGGACATCAAGAACACCACACAAGAAGAAAGCAAAAATCATTAAAAGGACAGGAAAGAAAAGATCAAAATGTATGCCAGAAGGACTCTGAACCCTCACTTAATCATGGAGTAACTTAGGCAAGTGGAAGAAATGGTGAAGTAAAATAATTGAATAGAAAATTCCAAAAAATTGGCTTCAGAAGACAGTCAAATATTATAATGAAATGTGCAAAGATCGAGAGTTAGAAAACCAAAAAGAACACACTCAGCATCTGTTAAACTAAAAGAACTCAAGAAAAAATTCAAGCCTTGAGTTGCAATCTTAAAAGATTTTATGGGCAAAATACTGACTAATGCAGGAAGCAACAAAAGAAGATCGAAAGAATACAGAGTCACTGTACCAAAAGGAACTAGTTGATATCCCACCATTTCAGGAAGTACCATATGAGCAAGAACCAGTGGTGCTGAAGGAAGAAGTTAAAGCTGCACTAAAAGTATTAGCTGAAAACAAGGCTCCAGGAATTGATGGATACCAATTGCAATGTGTCAACCAGCTGATGAAGCACTGGAAACGTTCACGCATCTATGCCAGGAAATTTGGAAGACAGCTAGTTGGCCAACAAATTGGAAGAGATACATATTTGCACCCATTCCAAAGAAAAGTGACCCAGTAGAATGCTCAAATCATAGAACAATATAATTGATATCACATGCAAGTACAATTTTGCTGAAGAGCACCCAACAATGGCTGCAGCAGTACATTGACCAGGAGCTTCCAGAGGTTCAGGTTGGGTTCAGAGGAAGATGCGCAACAGGGTTATCATTGCTGATGTCAGGTGGATCTTGGCTGAAAGAAGAGAATACCAGAACGCTGTTTACTTGTGTTTCTACTGTGTGGACTACAGCAAACTATAGACAGCCTTGAGAAGACTGGGAATTGCAGAACACTGCATGGTGCTCATGTAGAAACCGTACATGGGTTGAGAGGCAGTTCTGCCAACAGAACAAGGGCATACTGTATGGTTTAAACTCAGGAGAGGTGTGCCTCAGGGTTGCATCCTCTCACCATAGTTACTCAATCTGCATCTTGAGCAAGCAATCAGAGAAGATGGATTATATAAAGACTGGGTTATATCAGGATTGGAGACTTATGCAGATGAGGAGCACTTGCTGATAAAGATTGCAGCCTTCAGTTGGGATTGTGGCTCAATGTAAAGACCAAAACCCTCACAAATGGACCAATAGGTAGCATCATGTTAAATGGAGACAATATTGAAGTTGTCAAGGATTTTGTCTTGCTTGAATCCACAATCAATGCTCATGGAAACAGCAGTTGAGAGATCAAATGATGCATTGTACTGGGTAAATCTGGTGCACCAGACCTCTTTAAAGTGTTGAAAAGCAAGGAGGTTACTTGGAGGACTAAGGTGCCCCTGACCCAAGCCATGGTATTTCAATAGCCTCATCTGCATGTGAAAGTTGGACACGACTAAGGAAGATGAAAGAAGGAGTGACGCATTCGAATCAAGTGTTGGTGAAGAAGACGGAACGTGCCATGGACTGCGAAAAGAAGAAACATATCTGTGTTGGAAGAACTGGAATACAACATTCTCCTTAGAAGCAAGTCTGCCAAGACTTGGTCGCCTATTCTTTGGACATGTAGTCAAGAGAGATGGTCCCTGGAGAAGGGCATCATGCTTAGTCAGGGAGAAGGGCAGTGAAAGAGGGGAAGCCCTTTAATAAGAGGGATTGAGACAGTGGCTGCAAGGATGGGCTCAAATATAAGAACCACTGTGAGGATGCAGGGGACTGGGCAGTGGTTCCTTGTGTTGTCCCTGGGGCAGCTATGAGTCAGCACCGACTTGAAGGCCCCTAACACTAGCAGCAGTTTGCAGATTCAGTTCCTTAGTCCATTTTGAATTTGTTCTTGTGCGTGGTGTGAAGCACAGATCCTGTTTCATGTTTTCTGACTGCAGAACTATACAGGGGACTTCAAATTGCCGACCTTGCACTTAGCAGGCCGACTCCGAGTATGTCACCTGGCCTCCTTGCATCATTTGTTGAATATACTTCTTTCCTAGAGAAAGGTCTTAGCATTCTTATAAAAAACCAGTTGATCATAGACCTTATAAAAAACCAGTTGCTTTATTATTATACTATTAGCAAGCTGTAGCTGTATGGTGTGTTTTAATTCAGGAAATGTGTGTATTCCTACCTTATTCTCTTTCAGCATTGGTTTTGCTGTTTGAGGCCTCTTGCCTTCTTTTTTTTTTTTTGCCTTCTATATAAGGTTGAAGATTGAGTTTTTTTTCTATTTCTGTAAAGAAGGCTGTTAGAGTTCTGATTGGGATTATGCTGAATCTATAGATTGTTCTGGGCAGTATTGACATCTTACTGATATTGTGTAGTCAAATCCATAAATATGGACCATCTTTCCATTTTAGCCTTCTTTAATCTCTTTTCAGCAGTATTTATATTTTCTCTTCTTAGTCCTTTATGTCTCTCTTTAGACTTATTCCTAGGTATTTTATTCTCTTAGGTGCTATTGTAAATTGACTTGCTTCCCTATGAGATATCTTATTGCTGGTGTTGGGGACTTTTTTGATATGTCAATTTTAGAACCACACTTGTTTATGTTTCTGTGAAATTTAACATTGCATTCTGATTGTGTAAACTTGGGCATTAGGTTACAATATATTCATCAAACAATCACATGGCCCACATAACCTGCAATTGCATCCAGATATGTGTGTAATATAGAAGACTGTTTTGATTACCGTAGCTCTATAGTATGTTTTAAAATCAGGAAATATGTATTCGCCTGCCTTTTTCTACATATATCTGTGAACCTGCAATTACCCTATGTCTTCCCAGATTTATTTGCTTGGCTGTTACTTCCCCTCATTCACTGGTCAGAAGTCTCAGTTTGCTCTCACCAGTGCTGGGTGAAGGGAGGCCAAATGTGAGGATACAGGGAATGAAGATGTCTGTCTTGCTGATGCTTCAAAAACAGTATTTCTATGGAGTCTTAAAGGCTTGAAGATAAACTAGCAGCCATCTAGCTGAGAAGCAACAAAGTCCACATGGAAGAAGCACAGCAGCCTGTGTGATCATGAAGTGTTGATAAGATCAGGTATCAGGCACCAAAGACCCAGAACAAAAAATTGTATCATTGTGAATGAGGGGGAGTGCAGAGTGGAGACCCAAAGCCCATCTGTAGGCAATTGAACATCCCCTTACAGAAGGGTCATGGGAAGGAGATGAGCCAGTCAGGGTGCAGTGTAGCACTGATGAAACATACAACATTCCTCTAGTTCTTTAATGCTTCCTCCCTTCCCACTATCATGATCCCAATTCTACCTTACAAATCCGGCTAGACCAGAGCATGTACACTGGTACAGATAAGAGATGGAAACACAGGGAATTCAGGACAAATAAACCTCGCAGGACCAATATTGAGAGTAGCCATACCAGGAGGGGAAGGAGATGGTGAGGGGAGAGAAGGGGAACCAATCACAATGATCTACTATAACCCCCTCCTAGGGGGAGGGACAACAGAAAAATGGGTGAAGGGACATATAAGTCAGTGTAAGACATGACAAAGTAATAATAATTTATAAATTATCAAGGGTTCATGAGGCAGGGGAAAATATGAGGAGCTGATACCAAGGGCTCAAGTAGAAGGAAAATGTTTTGAGAATGATGATGGCAACAAATGTACAAGTGTGCTTGACACAATGGATGGATGGATGAATTGTGATAAGAGTTGTATGAGCCCCCAATAAAAATGATTAAAACAAAACAAGCAAGCAGTGATTCGAGACTTGGAACCCATGGAATCTCCAGAAGGTCCAGTACCACCCATCCCCAGATTATACATAAGATTTGAAATGTGGGTGTTCCCCATCTGTACCTTTAATTAGAGGTTCAAAAGGCTCCACCATCTATTGAAACCTAAGAAATTACTCTACGACGAGAGTCGTATGGTGTAGGGATCATCTCTGATTCTCCTAAGCAGAAGAAGATTGGGGAGTATGGTTAGTTTGGGAACAACAAAACAAAACATGCCTCGCAGCTCGAGGGTGGTCGTCTTTCCTCACTTCGTCTTGTACTCAGGGCAGAGTGGACAGGGCACCGGCAGATGCCACATCCATCCCATGGTCCCCGTTCCCTTCTGCGACTTATTTTCCTTTAGCTTCCACAGAAACTCTTAGAATTAAGCTTGGTTGTGCAGCTGTGAAAGGAGATGGATCACCCGTGTCGCTTTCATGCTTGTGTTGAGAAACATTAGTGGACCTGGGCATTCCAGGAATGTGACCACAATGGGAAGTGCCCATCATCTCACTCGGACAGAGCCCAGCTGGTTCTGACCACAAAGACAGTTTCCTTTCTCCTAGTTCGTCATTTGTCTCAAATACAAAAGAAAGGTGTGAGCTCAGAGGCCAGTACTTATTTTGTTTAATAGTAACTTATTTTGATTAATCCGTGCTCTCTCTTTTGTAAACCTCCTCTACAGGGCAGTCCCTCATCGAATCAAGCTAGCAAAGGTACGTCTGAAGAGGCCTCAAGGCACCGATTTCTTAGGTCTCTATTTCTCCTGGGCGACAGCCGTAGGTCTTTCTCAGGGCCTCCGTGTGAACACCTACAGAGAAGTCCCAGGACATCACTGGTCAGTGGGGCAGTGGGGAGGTTGCTGGGTGTGGGCCCCAAAGTCCTCCCAGGGGGTCTCTCTTTCCTTCTTGACCATGGGAGAATCAGAACAAAATGGGAACATTTCTGGGTATCAAAGCACTCTCCTGAGTTTATTTTCATCATTCCCTCGGAGGTGAAGATACTTTTGTTTGGGTTTTCTATTATTTCTTTTCTTTCTTTTTTGTTGAGGGCTGGAGGATGGGGGAGAGAGTAGACTGGGTGTGGAATGGTCACTCCTAAACGAAGCAAGCGTCTTCGTTTGTGTGGCACAGCACAGAGGCACCGAGGGGCCACTTTGGGAAGAGCTGCAGCCCCAGATGAGGTTGTGTGGAGGGGGACGGTGGCCACTTCCTTGCTCTTCTTGCTGACCTGCACATGACTCCCGTGTGTTGGGACAGCCTCTGAATTCCCAAGTGTGACGAAGGTGACCGGGTTTCTCCGCAGCCCCCGCTGACTCAGAGCTGGTGGAGCAAGTCACCGCTCTGTTTATCTTCTCACACACTACAATTAGGTCCTCTCTGCGCTGCCAGCCATGGGCTGCTTTTCTAATTACTGGCATGCTTGGCTTAATTGTGCTCCACTTTAGCGTGCTTTGCGGACACTGCATTTCTTACCAGTGGAAGGTTTGTGGCCACACTGCCGTGATCAAGTCGATTAGTGTCATTCCCCCCCCTCCTCACCCCCCAGCAATAAGCACTTACTTCATGTCCCTGCGTCACATTTGGCTGATTCTTACAATATCCCACACTTTCTTACGGCTATGGCACACATGAGCTTATAGTGTAAACGCACCTTTTCTATGTACTGGGGGACAAAAGAGTCCACTCGACTCCCTCAATTGTGACATTTGCTGTAGTATGGTGGTCTCGTAGCCGTACTGACCACAGGACCCGGAGCCCTGCCCCCTTAGGCAAGCTCTCCCTTAGAGCTCTTTCTTGCTTTTACAGTGTTCCAGGGGCTCCGGCAGCATCTTCTTCACCCGTGGCCTCTGGGCAGGCAGCAAACTCCTCTCTTGTGCATCCTTCCCTCCTCCTCCCTGACTTGTTGAGTCCGCCTCTCTGGCATTGTGCTGGGCTCCCTGCTGTTTCGCCAGGAGTTGAGGTGTCTATGGGGTTCGGGGTTCTCTTTCCACCTTGCAGAATCCCTGGAACCACAGTGGTTATGCATTGCACTGGGCTGTGATCTGTAAGGCCAGTAGTTCAAAACCACCAGCTGCTCCGTGGGAGAAAGATGGGACTTTGTATCCCTGTAATGAATTTCGGTCTCGGAAACCCACAGGGGCAGTTCTACCCTGTCCTGTAGGGTTGCTACCAGTCGGCATCAACTCGATGGCAGTGAGTTTGGTTTGATGTTGGTTTTCCACCCTGCATGTGATAGTTGGACATTGAATTCGGAAGACTGAAGAAGAATCAATACATTTGAATTATGGAGCTAGTGAAGACTATTGAGAGTACCATGGACTACCAAAAGAACCAGAACAACAAAGGTACAGCCAGCATGATCCTTAGAGGCCAGGATGGCGAGACTCTGTGTCATGTACTTTGGACTTGTTATCGGGAGAGACCAGTCCCTGGAGAAGGACGTCATCATGAGTAAAGGATTGGGGCAGTGAAAAACAAGCAGACCTTCGACAGGAGCGATGGACACAGTGGCTGCATCAATAGGCTCCAACATAGCCATCGCGAGGATGGCACAGGACTGGGCGGGGTTTCCCTTTGTTGTGCATGAGGTTGCTATGAGTCGGAACCCAGTCAGTGGCTGCAACAACAACCTTCCACCCCGCCACCTGCTGCCCTAACCCCCCCAGGTGGGATGGTGGTAGGCATGATGCCAATGAGAACATGCCTTCCTATCCCCTCCTACTCTTGTCAATGCTGAATTGTGTGCCACCTACAGCCCCAGGAAGGAGAAGAGTTAGCGTGACTAGTAGCCAGATCATCGCGGTAGATCAGACGAGTGGGAGGCAGAGCAGCTGGTATGATGGGATGTCTACCTCCAGGCATTTACCTGGCCCCGAGTGCCATCATCGTCACATCCCCGCATGACCCCACTTCCTTAGACCTTCCTTCCCACCTTCAGATTGGCAGCTTCTGACAAACAGAGAAAACAGCTTTATAATTCCGTGAGCTAGCTTTCTTTCCGTCCACACGTGAGCTAGCTTTCTTTCCGTCCACACGTGAGCTAGCTTTCTTTCCGTCCACACTCCCCTCCCTTCTTTCCTCAGCCACACAGCCCTCCATTAAGCACGCTAAGTGCCTACTAGCTCTTTTCATGCCCACCTGGTCTTTAGCCTGTCTATAAAGATTTTACAGGATCATAATTGTATCTCCATAGACTTTTATGTTGTGTTCTTTTAGTTAATGTGATTTTATAAACATTCTTTCAGGGTTTCATAGCCCACATAAACTGTAAATTCACAGATGGAATTATTTTCACATGTGTTTGTAGACATTTATCTAACCATTCCACTGCTGCTGGATATGCATCTTTTAAAAATTGATTTAAAATGTTTTTTTCTCCAGAAAATGTTAAGCATCTAGTTTTTTCCCTTTGGGGTTTTTCAAGACAACGACTATTTTTAGAAGTACTCTTTGTTGTTGCTTATTGTTGCTTTGCACTGTCAAATGGCCCTTCAAGCCAGGATGCTGCAAACAATACATGGATATCCCAACTTCCCCGCATGCTTAGCTGCACTGTGCTTCAATGACCTGCTGATGGCTACACACATCTACAGGTTCATAAACTACAGATTGGGTTCTAGGTAGCTCTTCACTACCAGTTCATTTTGTATGTGAGAGTTCCTAAGGCGACCCCCCATCTGCACCTACGAGGTAACAGTGGAGACCCAGTGCTTTGAAAGAGGGAGACAGGGCTGTGAGCCCCGGTTCTGCCTCTTACCAACTGGGGGAGCTCGAACACTCCTGGACTCAGTTTCTTTCTCTGTAAAATGGGGATAATACCTTTATAAGGACTGATGTGGGGATGAAATAGAATTTTAGGAGTGCCCACTCAGTAAATTTTCATCCCTTCTTATAGCTCTTTTCTTTTTTTATGGCTGTGTATGAGAGGGTTTTTAAAAAGTGTGTAGAAAAATAAAATTAAAAGATAATGGGATTTTCCCATAAACTTTT